TTCGTAAAGGTCGCAAAAACAGCTGGTACGATGAGGACTGCTGTGCCGCAGTGGAGAGAACATACTGCCTATCTCGCAACGTTGTGATCAACCACAACACGTGCGGAATGGGATAAATACCGAAAACTGAAAAGGGAAGCTAGACGCAACTACAGACGAAGAAAGAAAGAGGCCGAGATGTATGAGTATGAAGGGCTTGAGAAGCTGGCCGACAAGGGTAATGATCTAGCCACCATAGTAGTAAAAATTGAGTACCCGGAGATAGTGAACCCGAAACCTCAATCGATGACGAAGTTCGAATAGCTGTCTCCCGCTTAAAAAACAACAAAGCTGCTGGAGCTGACTGCCTACCTTCAGAACTATTCAAATATGGCGGTGAAGAGCTGGCTAGGTGCATGCACCAGCTACTTCGCAGAATATGGTAAGATGAAAGCATGCCCGACGATTGTAGCAGGTTAAACTCCTACTTATCCAGTCTAGACCCCAGCATACCCAACGTATGCCCTGCATGTGGAGAGTTTCCGCACGACACTAACCATCTCTTCACATGCCCTCTCAAACCAACTCATCTAGCCCCCCTCTCCCTTTGGTCCAACCCCAAACAGCTCGTTTCCTGGACCTACCATTAGATGACCTCGGCGACTTAGACTGACCAAACCTGTGCCTAAGCGGGGCTAGTAAACCGCTACAACAACAACAACACATTGGAATTTAAATGTACTTTGTCCAATCCACAATAAGAGCGATAACAAAGTCTGCGCCAATTACCGTGAAACAAGCTTCCTTAATATCGCATATAAGGTCCCATAAAGCGTATTGTGTGAGAGACTAGTTAGGCATTGACCAGATATTCACCATGCACCTAGTCATGAAAAAGACCCTTGAAAAGAGGACCGACACTCACCACCTCTCTTCGTCGATTTTAAAGCCGCCTTCGACATCACGAATAGGAGCTACCTTTACGCCGCTATGTCTGAATTTGGTGTCCCGCAAAACTTATACGACTGTGTAAACGGACCTTCCGGATCGAGAAGGACCTCTCCGAGCCTTTCGATACCAAACGAGGGTTCAGACAGGGCGACTCCTTATCGTGTGACATCTTTTATTTGATTCTGGAGAAAATAATACGAACTGCAGAGCTGAATAGAGAAAGTATGCTCTTCTATAAGAGTGTACAGCTCCTGGCGTACGCCGATGATATTGACATTATTGGCCTCAACAACCGCGCCACTAAACAAAACTGACTAAATTTTTGCCCATTTTCAGTATACTAGTAAAAACGCGCACATGCGGCTTCGTTTAATAATCGCGATTGTTAAAACACGAAGATTTTTAGTTAGATGAGATTTTAATACGAGTCATACTTATCGGACTCCCCACTTATGAATCCAAAAGGTAGACAATAATATAATACGGTGAAAATTATCAAAAATAGATTCGGTTTTGTCTCACCTAAACAACCAACTTAATGGTCTACGGATCTAAGGAAAGTACCGGATCTGAATAACTTAAGCTTGTATAGGAATTTAGTACATTCTGAAATCATTGCTGATTTACCTTTAGGGAATGACCCAGCAATTATTAAATTTAATGAATAGCCAGTTAAAAATCAGTATATTTTTTCTCTGCCACATCCAGAACTAATGGGCTAAAATATGCAAAACACATAAACAGTCACGACAAACCCGTAATCGGCTTTTAATCAGAAAACCAAACAATCATTACTCAGCGCGTTCTATAATTTTCTTGAATCCCACTTATTGAACAGGAGATTCACTGTAAAAACATGTGTTCAGCGAGAAATATCGGTCAGATTTAGCCTAAAATGACATGTCAAAATTGCGCTTTCCTTCTTTCCAATTCTATCTACGTAATTATGTGTTCATACACTGCAATTTAGTTTGCGGAGCTTTCTTTCCATGTCGGAAGTACACTCGGAACAACATGAATCCACTGTAAAACACTCCATGATTTGGGCAAAATTAAACATTGACCTTGACTTCGGTCGCACCAGGACTCAAACCCTGGCTTTTCGAATGTTGATGCGCAATTCAATGCGGTCGTCGTATATATTCCTAACAAAATTCGCCATAACATTAGGAAAATAAGTTCTAACATACAACTTTTATCCGCAAACAGTTGCATCTGAAGCATAAGTCTACCAGTTCGCAGTTTGGGCCAAGTCTGGAAATCAAAGTCCCCCTCTATAATGCGACCAAAAATTCATATGGTTGTATAGAATTCAGTTATGTGGTATAGCTAGTGCGTTAAATATTGATATTATCGGGAACATTAAACAAATATATACTTAAATGTTAATAAAAAAATATTACATTGGTAGCTATCTGCCTTGTTTAGCATGTGTTATGAAACATATTTTTTAGTACGTGCGACATCCTGGTTAAAAAAGAAAATACATGGTCCTACCCAGCCTAGCAGATCCACTCGCCTTACAGTTTCCACCGATGCTCCCGTGACCAGGCACCCGTGTTTTGTTTGGCCAACTCCTGTAGAAATTGGTGACAGTGTAAGGGAGCCCAATGCTTTTATTGCTGCCTGACTGTCACTAAAAACGAAGACATCCTTATCTTTAAAGCTAGCTTAAATTTACTTTGCCGCCTCCAAAATATTATATGTACTCGTATATATTCGTCTGAAAGTCATTGTAATGGTCAAGTAGCCTAAAGAAGAGTTCTATAATAGGGGTGCAGATGGCAAGTGGTGGGAATTGGAAGCAATTATCAGTGAATGTAATTGTACCGCATCGATCTATATAGATTGGTATGAAATTGGATTTACTCAATATTATCTACGAAATTTTCGCTTTTTATAACTGGTCACCACATAATAATAAAGAAACGTTGGTCTTAGTGCTAATACGTAGGATCATTGAAATATTCTGAGATTTAGGCCCCCTTCTCTTGCCTAATGCTCCTTTGCATGTATAGAAGAGGGGAGTAGCAGCCTTCACATATATTTGAACTATGATATATTTTTAGTTTAATTTCTGGTCCAAGATATATCCCGGTAATTTGGCCTTCACCTTCAGACTAAGTTCAGCGCCGTGCTGCCCGTTATGTTGACATCGAAATTGAGTTCTATAGTTTTTCGAAGTACTTCTATAGTTTTCTTTCCAAAATTAGTCCAGGTATTATCTTGTTTTTGAAGAAAACCTATTGAAATTTTGTACTTAGACATAATCGTCCATAGCCTTGTAACTTTTACCATTTCTTCTATATCGCTGTAAAATCTCTTAAAAATATCTTTTTGCCGTCCTCATAGATTTTTTGTACCCAGAGTTCATCTTCATATGGTTTCTAGTAAAGGCCTTCACATTGTCTCTTAGTCCTATTAAAGAGCTTCCTACATAACCTGCGAAATGTGTCCAATTCTGTCGACCACTAATGTGTTTTGCGCTTTTAGAGCTTTTAAACTAGAATTAGTGAAAATGTCTACCAGATTATCCAGTTTTACTGTAAAGGAAGGAAAATCTAGTGCGCGACTGCCTAGTAGATAAGTGATAACATACTGACCACTTAATATGCCAATTATTCTTCTTCTTCTTTACTGGCGTAAATACCGCTTACGCGATTTTATCCGAATTTATAACACTGCATCATTCATTTCGGTTTTTCGCTGTTTGGCGCTAATTGAAGATAACAAGCTCAGCCAGGTCCTTCTCAACCTGGTCTTTCCAACGGAGTGGAAGTATTCTTATCTATTATCCAAATCACATGACCTAGCCAACGTAGCCGATGTGTCTTTCGTTGAACTATGTACATGTCGCCGTATATATTGTATTTCTATCAGCTGTGGTATTCGTCGTTCCTAACTCGTAGATGACCATAAATCTTACGCAAATCATATCTATCGAAAAGCGACATGTGGAGTTTGGCTTGCGTTCGTTAAGCACCTGTTTGTTGGGTTTCCAAGCGGAAATTGTTGTTGGTTTTAATACTAGTTACAAGATAAACGAAGTTCTCTACGACTTCAAAGTTATGACTGTCAACAGTGACGTGGGATCCGAATCGCGAATGCAATGTTTGTTTGTTTTATTACGGGAAATATTTCGTCTTGCGCACTTACTATTTTTTTTAATTGGAGCTGGTTTCTACGTGGCGCACAACCTCGCAAAGCGCATAAGTTTAACCGTTTACATATTTATATAGCAAGTAGATTCGCTGTAGCTTCTTATCTTTTAGCCCTGACCCAAGGCTCCGCATCTTGAACAAGGGTTGTTCACGTTTCCAGTGTGCGCGACGTGGGCGCAAGATTAGGAGTAGAGTATAGTCTCGCGACTGTAACTGCATACCCAGAAATTTCACTACACCCCATTGCCTATGATTTCTTCTTGGATTTGCTCCAGGATATACTTCTACTCTCGCGATTGCAGCCTTATACAGCTCCACCTACTTAGCGTCTTCGCAAGTGGTAACTTTATACCTGCCCTGAAACCATCCGGCATTTTTTTAGAAGGGAGGGGTTCTGGGGCTCTCCAACATAACGTCAAGGATGACTTTCTTCACGGCTGCTTTTACCCATTTCGTTTCCTTTTCCTAGAATTCCGATCAGAATTATATCATTCGCCAAATCCGCAAATCTAGTTTTTGGGCAGAACGTCTAGCGACCTTTGCCTTTTAGACGGGACTTCGCTGTTATGTTATCGTTTCCTTCGTGGCACACCTATTTGTGTGAGGCTTCATTTATCACATAATCAGCGGTCAGGGATATAAGAACACGGATGATCAGGTAAATTTTAACAACTTCTTCCTATATCACTTGGGATGAAAATATATATTATTTCGTAAATCTTACTATGTTGGAGAACCATTTTCTAGTCAAAACAGAGCTGATAGACATACTCTTAAATTACGCAAACTGGATCAATGATTGTGTAAAAACTTCACACTGAATTGTATTGGCAATCTTGGATTGGAAAGCGATAACTGATTGATATAAAGAATAATCGATTGCAAACGATTTTCTTGTTTGACAGTTTGCTTTCATATAATTAATAAGAATTTCTTCGAAGGTCAAAATTAACTCAAATTCTAAGCTAAACAATTTCATAACTTATCTGCCATTAAGAAAATTAAAATATATAACAAACAACTTATATTGTAACATTTGCAAGTTAACGATATTGAAGTGTTTTGGTAAATATTATTTTATACCTTCTGGGTTACATTCTATTTCATAAAACAGAATGGCAAACATGGCAGTTTCACGTATAAAGCGAGAATTCAAAGAAGTTATGAGGAGTGAAGAAGTAAGTATAAAATAATTCAGAAAAAATCTATAATTTCAGGATTAATGTTTTTAGTGAATATTTAGTTTCTATGTGCCGCGTTATTTTAGGAGTATTTGTTTATAAATATACGACTGGTCGAACTTTTTTTTATTTACATTTAAAAGTGTCAGTGACCATAATATTGTACATAGGTATAAAATCATATTTCATGTTTTTTTTTTTTGCAACATACAACCTATATTGAACTATAAAGCTTTCTAAACAAATTCCTATACTTATATAGCTTGTCTTTTTTACCAATTTGATGTGGTTATTTGTGATTACTATTGTTGTTATAATATAAAACATCCCCTCAAAAAAATGTTTTGCCTTGCAAATATACCATGGTAGCGCCTTAGGATAGATGAAATGTAAAAAAAATTAGGTTGTTTAAAACTCGGTGGCTGTCAACTTATTAATTTCTTAATGTGCCTAATTAACATATAATTTCGCTTTAAACATTTGTTTAAAATTTATACTATTGTGTATTCGCTTGAGCTCGCGAATTGCCCAAAAAGCTGGAAAATAATTTTTTACTTTCGCAACCTTTACTTGAAGATAAGAATTGCGGTTGATAAAAAAAAATTTAATAAATATTAATATAATAATTTTAAATTACTTCTTTTTTCAGATTGTGCAATGCTCTATTAAAATCGAATTAATCAACGACAGCTGGACAGAATTGCGTGGCGAAATTGCTGGCCCACCAGATACTCCATATGAGGGTGGAAAATTTATCTTAGAGATAAAAGTTCCGGAAACATATCCATTTAATCCACCAAAAGTAAATATCACTATTAAATAGAAGATCTGAGTTGTATCTAGTATTTAAAAAGATTCTTTACATCTTATAAATACTTACACTAGGATGAAGGCTGATAACCCATAATATGATAGTATAACGAATTATATAGACTAACTGTATTCAAAAGAAAAAGTCTTCCTTATTATACATTTATTTATAATAATTTTGAATGGTGATTTGGACAAAGAGCCAGCCTTATGATCCTTGCCTAAAGCATTAACGAAATGATTGAAAATGCAACGTCTGCCGTTTCAGTCAAGTACTGAAAGATAGTTAAATATAATAATCTTCCAACATTATGAACTTGTACACTGCCAATTTAAACTAGTTTTGTCCTTAACAGGGATATATACATAAATATATCTAATTGGCATAAATTAGCAGTGATGCCATATAAAATTAATCATTAGTTGTAAATTGCAATTTTAGAATATGCAAATATAAATGAGATTTCTAATTTGATTTTCAGAAATTGTAAAATGGTCAGGGAAACCATGAAATTGCTCTATTTGCTCCTTAAACTTGTGTTAAAAGTTGTCCCAATTGTGAGTTTACAGACTTTTCATGTATTTCTTTAACTCTAATTTATACTTTCATATTACAAACTTGAAGGGTGTAGTATTTATGTACATATTAGAAAACTCATTAATGCGTCGACAACATCTATTGTTCACACGTTTGGTTAATGCGTGTTCGGTTTCACACTGCTGTAGACTATTTTGACTACGATAATTATGGTATTTTAAAAATTTGTAGGATGAATAAATATACATTTTGTTTGTTTATATATTGTATGCGCAATTTTTTCTCAAACAAGATTTTCTATCGCATTTTTAGGTACGGTTTATTACGAAAATTTGGCATCCAAATATATCATCAGTAACTGGTGCAATTTGCTTGGACATTTTGAAAGATAATTGGTTAGTATTTATCGACTTTTTATTAAATAAAGTAGAGTTGCATCAGAAATTTCTGATTTACTAATTTATGATTGAACTAATTAGCCTGAAATTAGCATGATAAAAACCCCTGAAGAAGCGTAATATGTGTAAGCCGAAACCAGTCGTAAATAAAATTCCGAAATCGGGAAGACTAATTACATAGTTAAAATTTTTATAAAAAAAAAATATGTTCCTACTAAAGATGTAGATTTGGTTAAATTAATGGAAACGACAAAAAGAACCGAACTGATTTCCAAAATAGTCCTGATAATTACAATTTAAAAAAAAATTAATCGTTATTTAATTCCTTATACATATATATAATAGTCACTTTTGGTTGAACCGATAGTCTATGTCAAATATAAAAATGTCAAATATAATTGTTATTGTCTGATTTGCATTTTTATTCATCACATTACATCGCTTTTTTTGTGATTATTTGAAAAAAAATATTGAAACTACTAATTGTCGATCGGATATAATTGAAAAAATAATAACGGTTATGTAATTTATCAGGAAAAATCTTTGTGGAGGTCAGAACAAACAGTTTCTTCTAAAAACATTAAATTAGTATTTTAGAGTTTGATTTGCAGGCCTATTCTGTCGAGGTAACAAAATTTACTGATTGGTAAATTTTAATACCAAAGTTTTGGTATTATTTCGTATTCTGAGTTCACTGTCACCATGTAAATTTTGTTACCAGCGAAATAGGAGGTAACAAAAATCTACTGTTTGATTTTGTGTTGTAAGTTTGGAAAAAAATAAAAAAACCAAAATGGGTAGGCATATTTTAGGCATGGAATTCATTGAAGATGAAGAAAAAATGCAAAAAGACGTATTTTAAGAAGAAGAGACTAAAAAATAGCCCTTTAATTTGTAAGATAACGTTTTCATTCAGCTTTTTTGTTGTCCAGACATATTTCCATAATTAGGTTCAAATATTTATGATATATTAAACAAATTAATAAAACGTCTCAAAATGTACTTCACCGGTAACAGTGAGAATAGGCCTGTTAGAATGTAATTATTCTACGGGTGGAGCCGAACAGTAGTATGGAAAAAGTTTTCCGTCGACTTATGTTAATGGCGACTGCAATAGCCGAGTGGTTAGCATTGAGTACTGTCATTCATCGTAAGGTACAAACAAAATTTTTCGGCTACTTAAGCTCATGGTGTATGTGCGGCCCGGACACCATTTTCAATTTTTTAAGCCAGTGATCTCTTGGCAGAAATTTCAAATCATTTGTGTATATTTCTGCCATGAAAAGATTATCTTCCTCTGCAAAGAAATTTGTAGAGCATATACAGTTGTTTATTCTCGAAATTTGCTTAAATGCTAAACTGAAAATACTAACCCGTTTTGGGACTAAATTTTTATGACTTTAACAGGCCTATTCTCACTGTTACCGGTAAAGTAAATTTTGTTACTTTTTTTAACACGCGAAATTGAATTTGGTATTCTGGCGAACTGATTACAAAGTTTGAAAAAACTTTGGCAGTACTGCTTTTTTCGTCCATGTCAAATTATATTTGCCAGTTGATAAAGTCAAAAAGAAGAGTTCACATCGAAACGAAATACGGTGCACAACAAAATAAATAAGATTATTTATAATAATCATAAGTAATTAAACCTAATTTTGGAAAATATGCCTAAACGACAAAAAAAACTGAATGAAAACACTAACTTCCAAATTAAAAGCGTCATTTTTTTGTAGCAATTTCTTAGCATAAGCCTTTTTACATGTTTTGCTTCATCTTCAATGAATTCCAGGCCTCACTTATTTTGGTTTTATTTTTTCTTAAACTAACAAGACAAAATCAAACAGTGGATTTTTTGCTACCTCCTATTTCGCTGGTAACAAAATTTACAGGGTGCCAATGAGCTCAAAATACGAAATAGTAACAGAATAGGCCTGTAAGACTAAAGCCCTTTTGACCATCATTCGATCTTAAATGGCTGTCAAAACTCGTTGAGAATCGCTTTGCTGTTGCTCATCAAACTTACAATAGAACCAAATATTTGCAGGCCAGGTCCTCCTAAGGTCAGAAATATACTGGCATAGCCTCTGTTCCGTTCAGTACTGAAACAAGTAACTGCTTCTTATAAAATTATGAAAAATAAAGCTTTTGTTTTATAAGATAAGTTTCGAAGCAATTTCTTTATTTTAACGATTTGGTGATAGCAGTTATATTTATTAAATTACATACTTTCACAAAACAAAGACGCTCTTATTTTTCCCTAATGATATTTACTTAAATCAAATACATTTTATCTTTAATTTTTTTTTTAAAAGGGCCGCCGCAATGACCTTGCGGACTGTGTTACTCTCACTTCAAGCTTTGTTAGCTGCAGCGGAGCCGGATGATCCCCAAGATGCAGTCGTAGCATATCAATATAAAGACAAATACCCGTTATTTCTCATGACTGCTAAGCATTGGACAAATGTATATGCTGGAGGTAACTCAAGTGAAATGATTGAAACCATAACACAAAATATCTTTATTTCTTGAAGGTCCACACAAATTTACAGAATGTGATTTAAAAATTCAACGTTTAAAGGATATGGGTATTGATGAGCATGATGCGCGAGCGGTTTTATCAAAAGAGAATTGGGATTTAGAAAAGGCGACTGAAAGCTTGTTTAGTTAGCTTCCATAAATGTATTGTATAATAACTGGAAATTAAGAATTTGTCAAAAATATTGTTTAAATAGGTTTGATATTTATTTAAAAAATAATTATTAATATAATTGAAAATTTTCGCTTTATTATTGTTAATATAAGGTAATTCGGAAAAAGATAACGCAAAATACATACATACATATACAAAAGTTTATGAATAATTGTGTTCATTGTCCAGTATTCAACACCGGAATTTGAAATTTATTAAAATATTTACCGCAAGAAAGTTTTCGGCTGAAATGGAATGTATGTGGAAGCGGGCTGTTCTAGAAAAACGGGAAAAGAGAATCTTCGCCACACTAAAGAAAACGTATTTGGTTAGATCATTAGTGGGTTAAGTGTGTTCATCCGTAGGCTAAGTACTCATTATGCTGTCCATATAACAATGCCATAATAATTTTTTTTATCGATAACAAGATCATATTGTAACAAATCATTTGAGTCAAGATAAAGATATTGGAAAAGTCGGTTCCCTCCTTTTGTGGATAATGTGGTCCGTCGTGTTTCAGAAGACATCATGTCGTGTCGAAACCGTTGCGAAATTTTTATTAGAATAAAAATGCTCATTTTTTTATTCAAACACATGCTACAAGGGAACAAACGAGATCCTACGCCAAAAATAAAAATTTTCTCACACATATGTAAGTATATATAGTATAGTCGGTTCGTAACCGCTTAAGCGATTTCCGGCAGAGCTCCTCCTCCAATATGTGGTATTGCGTATTGATGTTTTTCCAACAAATGGGAATGGGAAAACTACAGCTTATACTTGGCCGCCTCCGAACGGCTAATGGTTCTTTATGCGAAACAAATTCTCTTTCGAAAATGATGTGAAATGAGCAGAATTTTGTCGGTTTAAATATACTTTCCATAAAAACGTAAGTCAGCCTTGATATTGATAGCTTTAATTATGCGTTTTGGTACAATACAAGAACGAGATAAAAAATAGGCTATTAGAAAACTGATTCGGAGGAAGAAGGACTTTTGAAAAGGTTCTAATGTACTAATTACACTAGATCCACAAAAGATCCACAAATAATATCTCAGAAGAACTACAACTTGCTTAAATGGAGATAGCGATGTCAAATTACAATGTCCTCAAAGTTCAAGTTTTTTTTAAGTCTATATATGTAAATCAATTGTAATGAAACTAATATATACCCTCGCAACAAAAATACAACAAAAACATTATTATTATCTTTTTAAACTGATCGGTTCTTGGGCCCCTTCATGGAAAGTAAAGATTTTCAATTAAAGATTTTTTCAAATAGGTCGGGCCACTGTTTCTTTTCGGCCATTCGGAAGAAGTTCATTGACAAACACACACACAAAATTTTTATGTAATATATCGAGATTTTATATTAATATGTAATTTCTCAGGTTGCAAGTGGGCAAAATACGCGTAACTGTATCGATGTATTGAAAAAACTTAAACGGCATTAATGCAGATACCGCTAATTTTTTCCAGCGCACTCATCTTTCACCCATGGCAGACGATACTGCCCTAGAATGTCAGGGCATAGCTATCCGGTCAGACGACGCCGAGCTCGAGATATTTAATATATACATTCCACTTGTTACAATTTGCCTCGTTGGATATAGGTTCGCTGCTCAGTGACGAACGATATTTGGCATTCTAGCCTGTCAAACGGCCTTAGAGGAATGCAGCTGGCGGAACAGACATACGATCCTCCCTGCGGATTTAAAAGTCCCCGAAGAAAAAATCTGCCAATTCTAAATGCACAGGAATGAGAATGACTTTTTGGGTGTAGGATGTTTTCTCTTTCGAAACCTTCTTATTGACATTCGGTAATTTGGTAAAATGAACAATTGTTATTGAAAACAAAAATTAAATTAAAATTATAAATACTGTATCTATGGCTGCTGAAGCATATGTGGAAGAATAGCAACGAACTCTTCTTCAACGCAGACAAATTCTAGGGCAGGGCAAATATCCACTTTTGGCAAGGTCTCTTCCTCCTGCAATCCTTTCAGAAGGAACAATTTACGCTTTCCATTAAGGCCACCTGCTGTCGTGTTTTCTGGCCTTTAAGTTTTGAGCCGCAATTGGATGAACTTCTCCTCGGTCTATAGCCGGTTTAGGTTCCATCAGTTTTGCTATCAACTGCAACTGCAGATTGCTTGCTGTTTTTGACCTAAAGAAACCATTAATATGATTATTTGTGTTATATTGTGTTAATTTAATACTTACAATGTTTTATAAAACTTGAAACTTTGAAAAAACTCTAGCGGAGTATTGAAATAATTCATTTTTATAAATGGTGGTGCCAACTTTTTCCACACGGAATTTTTCCCCACTCTTGAAATTTGTTTAGAATACGAGGGAAGAAAAAAATACGAAAATTCTTTTTTATTCATGATAGGAGAAGAGGAAAAACTGAGAAATCTCCCGGGCTGAGCAATTGCGAGTGCTGGTGTGATAAACAGTACAGCCTGACGAGCTATGCTGACACTAGCATAGGACCCACACAAATCTCGATTGACAGACCTCCCGACTTCGTTTCCGCTGTCCACCACACATTTTTTAACTTTAAAAGAAGCCAACTGGCTTGGCTTTGTGGAATTTACCGACAACGCATTTAGTGTTTTCCTCACTCCATCAGACATCACTGCCGGTGAACCGTTATTCCGCAGGATTGTCGCAATCGAATTGCGAAATCCTTCCTAATTTCTCGTCGGAAGTGGCGGTTGTAGCTTCAAGGCGGGATACCATTCGCTAGGCAGATGCTGGAAATCTTCTAATCAGGGATCTAAACCAGGAGTTTCGGCGAGTAGTAAATAATCACAAGCAGAAAATGTAAAAAGAGCACGCAAGATTCTGAAATCCCTTCTCTGGGGCAACCAAGCTATTGGCTACAGTCAAGTGATTCAGGGGTGTTATAGAAACCGACGCAGAATTGCTTATTTATCGGAATTGAAAATCTATATCTGTTTGAAATGGTGTTATGAAACCAACTTGATTTTGCTTTTTTCGAAGATAAGCAAAACCGAAAAGATATGCTTAAGGCTTTTGAACGTTTGCCCACGCTGGATAATTTTAGGAATTAGCGACAATGGAAAACGGAGAGCTCGTGACCATTTTCACATCAAATACCGTATTCCAGACATTGCTGGTTATAACTTCCTCTCTTATTAAATTTCAGCTTGCGAAGAAATTTGCACACAATTCCGTTACGACCGGTAAATCGGTTTCTGTAACACCTAAAATCGACACAAATTTTGTTTGGGACATGAAACCAATATGCAAATCAATATTCTTGGTCACCAGGAAGGCCAATGCCTCCAAATCCATCAGCCCCGACGGACCAGCGGGTACAGATTTCCTCAGCAAGGTCCTCAATTTGTCTCAAATGTCCGGGGAAACCAGCTAACACAGGAGAGCCATATCGGCCGTTATCTCTTATCTCCCCAGTAGAGACGACACTTAGAGCTTTACTGCTCCCGACGTCCAGCAGCAAATCGGCATGGCTTCCGCAAAGTGCATAGTATAACGTCATACACACCCTAATAGTCAATGGTCTTAACCGAAACCGGCACTGCACGCGAACTATCCTGTAGCACTGTCAAAAGGTTTTGACACCGTTAAATGGTTGACTATCGGACAATGAAAAATCCTCATTTCCGCAGAGTTGAAGAGGTAGATCATGATCTATTTTGCCAACCTATCCCACTTCTACACTGCACGACAGCTTAAAATCCAACCGAGCGAAGGAATGTAGGCTCGAATTACATGTGAAAGTCGATGACGTGAGAATTCCGACTATAAATAACCCAAAGGTATTGGGAATCACATTGAACCGCAATACGACCACAATTGTCGCAAAACTCCAGAGTCGCAAAGAAATTACTTAGAAACTGGTGTAAAGATAAAAAATCCTGCTGGCGCCCCAAAAAGTAATTGGCAGGCCGGTCGTTAACTATGCTGCACCGATCTGAGCCGCGGGGATGAACGAGACGCAGATGAAGAAGCAACAGGCTTGTCAAAACACCGCCCTCAGGACTGCGACAGAAAACCTCCTGATTTCGCCGGAGAATCCCTTGCACAGTGAATCATCGATGCTAAGAGTTAAGGAGCATAATGCTTTGCTGTGTAAGCAATTTTAATTGGGATGCTACCATAGGGAACACTAAAATAGGCATCTTATTGAAGGTAATCCTCCAAACAGACACATCAATAAGGGAAAACCAGACTAGACGTTCAACAACTGCTGGAGAGGACGGTGTGCAGACAAGCACTGAACGCCATTCAACAGGAGTCAGTCAACACCTTCATAGACTCCTTTCCATTGAATGGCGTACTCGGAGTTGAAGCATCACCCTGAGGCAGGTTAAACTCCTATTTACCCACACTCGACCCCAACATACCTAATGTACGTGTATGTCCTGCATGTAGAGAGCGCTCTTTACATGCCCCCTGAAACCGACGCATCTAACCCACCGCTCTCTCTGGTCCGATCCCGTCGAAACAGCACGTTTCTTGGACCTCTCGTTAGATGACCTCAGTGATTTAGGTTAATTAGTCTACCCCTAAGCTGGGTTACCGAAACGCTACAACAACAACAACGATAAGAAACGACAGAAGCCGATGCGTTGAAGGGTATGCCAATGTCACCGTACATTCACGTATAAGGCCGATTAATTAAAATTGAAAAGGAACCAAGTAAGCTGATTGAGTGGAGAATATAACAAACACTTCTGAAACATCGATAAATAGCTTTACAGTAATATTTATTGAAACTTTTCTACAGTTTTACACACGCTCAGAATTACTTATAACGTACATACATACACTTCAATGCATTGTACCTACTTGTATGTAGTAATCAATAATAAAACTACTCAGAATAGTTTTTGGTGGATTGTTCTATGGACCACAAATATATTAAAAACTAAGATTTCTGAATTATTTGGTGTTAAAAGAAAACAGGTTAACAGTAATTCTTAACAATTTATATAATTTCTGTTTACAAATTAATGCAAAGCATAGTATTTACGGCCTGAGGTTAATTCCTAATCTACTTTGTTTCTAATTCGTTCATTTTAAAAAATATAGTATCGGATAAAATGTGGTTTTCAGTTGCAATATTTATATTTTATAAAAAAAAATATGCTGCAACGAAAAATATGTAGTTTGGTAAACGTAGTTACACAATAAATCTAAATCGAAATGTCCGTTAAGATTTAATTAATATTAATACGGAACATTTGAGAAAAGATAAGAAACACTTTCGCCATTGTGTGTCCTCCTTACAGCTTCGGCAAACATCATTGATACATCAATGCACTAAAACAGTCAAAAGTTAATTTTACATACTTTAAATACTTGTAGAGTTTCTCAAACCTGAATTTTTGGACAGTCCCTCATATGTCCATCCTGCGGTATGGTATTAGTAACAACAACAGCTTCGAAGCAAGCATTATTAATCCGAGAAATCGCCGGACCCGAAAATATGCCATGTGTTAATATAGCGTACACCTGTAAATAGTATAAGCGGATGCCATAAAATGATTAACTTAAATACAGCGATCCAAAATATATTACAAAAATAACTTAAAATGGGTTTCATGCAAATGGATTAAGCCTCTCGATGGTATTCCACAGTCATCAGATTTAAACCCGATAGAGCATTTTTGAGCTTTTTAAAACCGGAATTTTTTATAAAGGCCCCGAAAACCACCAATGAACAGGATGTTAAAATATTTTGAAAATTTTGTCCAAATTACGCAGGTTAATATGAAGCAGAAAAGTCTCTTACAAATTGTTAAATAGAAAAAATAATAATTAGATTTTAAGTCAAGGAATAAGAAATGTTCACTCTAGATTTCTCAATGTTCATTGTTGTGAAAGAAATTATGTACATTGAATTCATGACTTTTTTTTAGTTTCGCTAGCGTATTGATATTCCACTTAGTATGTTTATAGGTTTTAAAGCAAATACTCCTAATAAAAACACTCGTTTATTGAAATTTTCCAATTTTTGTGTCACTAACTGCATGTATGTTTTAAATAGATTTTCGTAATTACCTTAAGTGCTCCTGCCTCGACTAAACGATCAGCAGCGTGGACAATAGTACCACAAGTGTCGGCCATGTCATCCACCAAAATAGCAATTTTATCCTTCACATCACCAACAAGTACCATAGAAGCTACTTCGTTCGCTTTCTTTCGTTCTTTATGGATAAGAGCGAATTCGACATTAAGACGATCTGCTATGGATGTAACGCTGAAAAAATAAGGAAATCATTAACAAAAATAGGATGGGCAATCTATGATACATGTTTATCAGTTGTGTTAGCAGCAATTAAATTAATTAAATCGTGTGGAGCCCTAGGGACTAATACGAAGCCTTTTTCATTGGAGATTGTTTTTCATGAGGTGGGTTCCAAACCCTACGAACAACCGCATGGTATTCTCGCCTTCTCACTTTAGCTTGCCTCTTAACGGATGTTTATTGGCTATTTAGTCTAAGACCGGAGATGACCCCATCCCCGACACCCACAACGTATTCTTCGATTTTAAAGTAGCCTTCTACAGCACGAAAAAGAGCCGCATTGTGTAAACTGAAGCTAGACAATACTGGAAGGGCAGTCAGAATTGGGAAGGACCTCTCCGAGGCGTTCGATACCAAACGAGGATTCAGACAGGGTGACTCTTTATCATGTGATTTCTTTAATTTGATGCTGGAAAAATTTATGAGTTGCAGAGCTGAGTAGAGAAGGTACAATCTTTTACAAGAATATAAAGAAGTGATAAAGAAGCAAAGCAAATGGGTCTGTCATCAAACAAACAGTCATCGGTTTCGCGACTCGGCTCCCACATCGCGACAGTCATAACTTTGAAGTTGTAGATAACTTCGTCAATCTAGAAACCAGCATAACACCAATAATAAAGTCAGCCTTGAAGTCCAACGCAGAATTACTCGAGATGTAACGAGATGTAAACTTTACATGTCGCTTATCATACCCATCCTACTATGTGGCGCAGAAGCGTGGACGATGACAACTGATGAGTCGGTCCTGGGAGTCTTCGAGAGAAAAGTTTTGCGAACGATTTATGGTAGTTTGCGCTTTGGCAACGGCAAATATCGCATATGATTAAACAATGAGCTGTATGAGATATATGATGATATTGACATATGTAGTTCAGCGAATGAAGAGACGGCTACGCAGGCTCGGTCATGTCGCGCGGATAGATGCAAGCACTCCAGCTTTGAATGTATTGGTGCTGATGGGAACAGAGGAAGCGGAAGACCTCCACTTCGTTGGAAGGATCAGGTGGAGAGTGACCTGGCTGCATTTGGTATTTCCAACTGGCGCCTCGAAGCCTCTTATCCCAACTGGTCGATGTAATCTAGCTTTCCAAAGCCCATATATCAAATTTATTTACTTAATTATAATACAATTCGTATTTTTTTGTCATTGCTTGAATCCGCCAAGTAGCAAAATCACCACATTGTGTCTAAGGCACATATGCTCCAAGATTCAAAAAGATATGTATAGAGATGGGCACTAATACATCGGGACTTCTGGTACACTACATTTATTCCATTCCGTTTTCATATACGAGAAAGCGATATACTGAAAACAATTGTATTGCGCTTGTGTACTCGTTTTCTTTTCTCTAACTTTTTTCGTGACGACTAAACTGTTCTTGAAGTTATTCTTTGATATATTTTAGACATATCAATAAACAACGTATGAAATTTGCGCTCAAACTCGGTTTTTGCAAAATTATTTCTTTACCGTTTCTCTTTTATTTCATAATTTTCTTGAATGGATGGATTTCTCTTTTATTTGATTCAAATTTATTTATATTACCAGCTTTTCGTCACTGCGCTTGTACACTAATCATTGTCTTATTTGCTTCACTAAGTAAGGAGAGTGCGCTATTAGTGACGAAAACAGGCACATACATACATATATCTCAAGTTTTCTATTGCAAGGTCAATGGTCCGATAACTGCATATGTCTTACGTGATTCGACCCTAAATCTGCAGCCGTGATATTTTCTTTTTCTTTTAACCTATGTCAATCCGAGGACAAATAAACGTTTCCATATTAACCGCCCTACTTACCGTTTCGCACCTCCAGCATCTGGCGATACAATAATGGAGTTCTTCCACTCGGGTATGTTTTCCTTAATCCATTTCAAAACTGCTGGCTCCGCATACAAGTTGTCAACGGGAATATCAAAGAAACCCTTAAATATAAGTTGAATGAAATCAGCATATTATTAATCAAATATATCATTACAATATATATATGTATAATCTTTTAGAAATCTAAATATGTATGAATGGTGAACTAATTAAAGTTGCGTCATTCAATAAATACAACCCATTCCTATGGTCCATTTTAGGGTATATTCGTAGTGTTATCTGTCAACCACAGGTTATCTCACAATAATTATATGGAGATTTTAGCGTTAACATTTGTAAATGAGATAGCTCTTCACCATTAAAAACGTGAAATTGAAAAATAATATTTTTTATATCTTATTAGTTGTGTTATTTCAGGTTCAAAAAAGTTGAAAAGGGTTTAATTTTAAATCCGAATAGAAATAATGCACAAAAATTATTAATGTACAGGACAAATTCGACAAAGGAGATCCTTGAAGCAAATTGTGAAGATTCGGAGATAAAAATAAAAGTAGATATACCAAAGATGAATGATATTATCCCCGTTATATAGCACTCCTAAGTGTCAAAGATGCTAACCAACATTCAGATGGGAACGGAGGAGAAGCACGGCCGAAAAGAAATTAAATGATTATAAGGCACCATCAGTTGTATATCTCAAATACAGAAGCACCAATTTTAATTTTCAAAATTCTATTATTGTCCGTAGAAGCTTGTTCGAAGGCAAAATCAAGCGCTATAGTGGACTTGACTTCGCTTGGTTTGTATCTCCGTTTTTTTTTTATCCTTCAAATAGTAAATATTCATACGATTCAAGTTTCATCTCGCATAAATCTACCGGATGCACTTTGTATTATTACACTAGATTTATGTCAAAAGCACATTACTTTGGTATAAAGAAGGCATTTGAAATTTCCTCAAAAAATTGCTTAAATTAAAAAATTAAATACATAAATATTGGAGAAATTCTAAAAAAAAACATATATATATATATATTTATTTATCCAGCCATCAAAATGCCAAAAAGATTAACCGATGAGGAACTTTCAGAACTAAAAAATTGGCTTGCTGACCAACAAATTAATCCGAACAAAATGCACCGAGAGTTCTCCGATGCAGTACCTGTTGCTAATTTATTAAAGAAGTTGTATCCCAAGTTAATAGATATTCATAACTATCCTCCACGAAATAACACACAATTAAAACTAAATAATTGGGAAACTCTCAATTTTAAAGCTCTCGGAAAAATTGGTCTTCCACAAAGCAAAGCTATGTTGCAAAAGCTAGCTGCAGGAACTCCAGGAGCAATAGAATCGTTGCTCCATGAAATAAAACTGCATGATCGAAGCAGTAAAAAATCAGACAGATGTGATGAACAAGAACAGGTTTGGTCGGAAAACGATGATATTATGATGGTCAACGTTAACAAAAAAGTCGGTGATGCTATTGTTCAAGTACCACAAAAAATGATTTTATTTTCAATCTATGAGCATACTCTTCGTGACTCTCAGACAAAAGAATCTTACTTGAATGCAGCTAATCAAAAAATTGCTCATCTAGAAAGTATATTGAAACTTAAGGGTGAACGGATAGACGAGCTGTGTGCTCAACTGGCTAAAGTGTCGGTGCGAAGTTTAATAAAGCAACATAACTTGGAAAATTCTAGCCCCAATTCAGCACTTAATTTTGGCAACATTGAAAATGATACAAACAACAAAAGTACGGAGTATTTATAAGAAGGTCCTGATCCTAAATGTAAATCTTTGGTTAATCGAAATTGTCATTTGGAATATTTTAAATTTCTAAATAAAACTTGTATATATGTACATAAGTACATATTTTCTTAAAGATTTAATTTAAAAAAATATACAAATTAAATAATTTTATATTTATTGAAATTACTTTAATATATGAAAAACATTTAATTGAGAACTACAAACTAATTCATGTCCATTTTTGCCACTTTTGGGAAAAAATTAGTTATTTTCAAATTTAATTTGGTAATAACATAAAACATAAAAGAAAATCCGCGGTTATTTTAAAAGTGTTCATGGATTGACCCCAATATTTATGATTTACATTTAGTTAAATAAAAACAAGAACATGATATTTTTTCAATAATAGCAAAATATTTTGATCTTAGAAAACAATAAAATCGCAATCTTAACACCATTAGATTCATGGATTTATGCATACGAGGTGTGAGCAGAAAATATCCGTTATTTTTAAATTCGTGAATTACGTATGTTCGATTTTCGCTTTTTTTCTGTTATGTTGGTCTGTTATGCATGTCTGTTATACTCGTATATGTTGGAAATATCAGCCATTTTGGATTGTCAGGTTGTTTTTGCCAGTTAAAAAGGTTAGTCGTGTTTTAGTGTGCTCTTGGATTTTCTACTATTCGAAAAAATGAATCAAAGAAACTGTATTAAGTTTTGTGTACAAAATGAAATTAAATGCGCAAGGACATTTGAAATGTTGACTGTGGCGTTTGGCGAGTCTACTATGAGCAGAACACAAACTCGCTTCAGCGGTTGCAAAGCGCCAATTATATATACAATCAGCAAAATTTATATTCATACACCCCAGTATTTTTACTTAAAATGTAATTTTTCGACTTTATATATATTTATAAATTTGAGGTCTACGAAATTAAATTAGTGTTCTTTTTGCATAACTTGTGGTACAAGAAAGTATTTTCATAATGCCATCCGGAAATAGTTATGCAAGAGTTCAGTATATAATTAACAATTTTAAAAAGTACAAAAAGGCGTAGATTTAATCATGAGTATATATATATTAAATATTTCATTTTTGTTGTATTTAAATCGTACATAACATTACATATTTTACATTTAATTAATATATGTTCAAGAATTTGTTGCTATTGCCAAAAATTTAGCTTTGTTATAAAAAATAACCACCCCCATTCTGCGTTTCGACTATCTAATTGAGTTTATTATGCATTTCGAACGTAGCTAATTGCAACTCTTTTTTTATAGTGTTTTGAGCTTTATTTGGTTTTTTGATATGTACGAGATGTGACAATTAGGTAAGAGACTGATTCCATAAAAACCGTATATTTCAAAATTATTCTACAACTCTGTCATCCCCTTCAAAGTGGTAGTATTCCAGCGTGTTTTCCATGCTCCATAACATTTCTGGAACGCTTCGAATGCGATGGATGTCGTCAATCGACTCAAAATGAGTTCCTTTGACCACCGATTTTGTTCTAGGGACATATCGGACGATGGTTGTTGCAACATGACGATCCCTTTAGAGGCCAAATACTAGGACATGCTGAGGGCGATGTAGCACGGCGCGTTATCGCGGAGAAGGATCCATTTACAAGCGATATCTGGGCGCACCGTGTTGACGTTTTCACAATCTTTCGAGTACTTAGCGACAGTAGACTTGATTTACGGTTTGCCCCGGTGGAAGAAATTTTTTGTGGACGATTCCACGGCCACTGAAAAAGGCAATCATTATCGTTTTCATCTTCGACTTGCTCATTCGCTTGCTTTTTTCGGGCGAGGAGCGTGCGAAGTCAACTATTGTGAGCTTTGGCGTTTGGTTCTCGGGTCGTAATGAAAAACCAGCTCTCATCGCATGTAATCAAGCAACCCAATTTGGCGCACGAACACACGTTTACTCAACACGAAGCAGGCGAACTAAACAAGCTAGAGCGATGGCATAAAATATATCAATGAAGAGAAGAAGGAAAAGGGAATTCAAGGTGGCAGGGTTACTACAATCGCGGATCAAACACAACATCCCCACACCAATATGGATGGTGTTTTGGAAAAGCTATATCAAACGTAAGCTATGCGCTAATAAAAAGAAGCCAAGAGCACCGGTGAAGGTCTATGCTGATTGCAACATATAACCTCACTTGAGGAGGTTTGACCGGAATCGTGATATGCACCAGTGGCATTAGAGGTGCTAAGGACTATGGCGGTAATGTTGCGTTATCCTACGTAGCTACAACCTTCAAAATGGACATTTCCATGCAGTCGGTCATTGCAGATGACATAACGTCAACTGTCAGAGCTAACAGCGAAGAGAGAAGGAGGGCACTGCTTCCTTGCTGAGGGAACAAATAGATCTAAAAACACAGTTTTACGAAGAAAACAGAACATTTAATGAAATTGTGTTTGAGAAAATGGAAGAAAGTGTCACCTATTTGCACGGCATGAACCGCTCTTTAGAGAGCATTCCGGACACTGCAGCGAAGCATTTGTTTTAATTAAATTTTTAAAAAGAAGAGTTTTTATTGTAAACAAACATCTTTGTTGTGTTTCAATTACACAAATTCACATTCAGCAGTTAATTTCGGATATGTCTTCTCTCTTCCTCTTCTGCTTTCGATTCGATCGTAACTTAGAATATCGAAGAACGGGAACTTAATCGAAATGCATAATAGAGCCGTATGTCAGCAATAACTGTGTTGGTTGAGAAATGTCAGTAAAAGCTAGTAACAAAGTTTAGAGAAGAAGATGTTCTACTCTCTCAAAAAACGAACTGGATTCAATAAAAATTAGCCAGCAAGTTGTACAATAGCTGTTTCTTTTGGCGTTTTTTTTCTGTTTTGAAGTATTTTCCTAATTGTTTTAATAAAATTGGCAATTATATAATATATCTAATTTATTAATTGTATTCAAAATTTATTGTATTTCAAAAATTCTACGTGCTCAATAACCGTCAAACGTTAAATATACTGATAGATTTTTTCTAATAATTCTCTTAAAAAACGAAGATTCTTAAAAAAATTGCTTTAGAACAATTTGTCGCTTAGATTTTTAATAAGAATGACTAAAATATGAAAATGATTTTTAAAATTATTTTCCCGTGAAAGCCGTCCATATTAACCTTACATAAATGTAGACTTTATTCGATGCTGTTTAAATAAAAACCAAGCAAAAGCTTTATAGTTCCTTCTAAATGCTACTAATATTTCATTTTGTGCATCGTCGTCGCTTCCGGAAGCATAAGAGTTCATTATCGTTACTGTGACCGTTGCAAAAACCTTGATTTGCAATGTTTTGTGGCTCATTTGGTCGACACTGCTTCCTAGTAAATTATAGAATCCAAAATCAACTTGTCATGTAAAAAAGTAATAATATATTCCAATTCCATGACTTCCTAACTTCTAATTTCTCAACGCGATCTGGGTAGTGGGCGGTGATACCACTCAACTGCCACCACATTTTCGTTTAACGAGTGCATTTACTGTTGTTAGTAATTATTGATAATGTTCAGTTAAATTGAACAACATAACATTTAACCACTTATTTTGTTGTCATATCATTCATATTAAAAAATTAAAATTATTTGAATTTAAAATCAATTTCGTTTTTTAAAAAATATTTAAAAATATGATCATGATACTGGGTCAAATTTTGCCAGCACGAATTCGCAACATTCTCTGCAACTAAACGTCAAAATTGCGCTCTCTTACTACCAATTTTAACTGAGTGTTTGGCTAAACGAACACGATCCAGTAAAGTTTGGTAAAAATTGTTACTGCCCATCTGATAAACGAATAAATTTAATAACGCACCAAATACTATCTTCCAAGACGTCCATCGTCTCAAATCGTTGCCCCAAAAGAAACCGGCGATTTGTAAGCAGGCCATACAATTTTTTTGAACAGCTTGTGACTATTTAATTATATTTTTCTTTTGACAGTCATAAGCTGTCACCTTTACCTTGCTTTTTTAACGCGTAATTTTGTTTATATTTGTTTGTTGAGCGTCAATTTTAATGTGGAGAAGAAAAAAAACCTTTTCGCCATATTTTACTTCATTCATCCTTAAAGGAAAATGCAGGGCAGTGCAGGGAGATAAAAGTTGGATAATTTGTATCGTGATAATGCCTTAAAGAAAACACAGTGTCGAAGTTGGTTTGTCAAATTTTTCACTCAAAGATAAGCCATGTTCAGATTCGAACAAGAAAAGTTGATGACGACGATGTCAAGGCCATTGAATCGGATCGTCATGTAACTAAATTCCTAAAAAACTTGATATTTGGGTACCACTTGAATTGAAAGAAATTCATTTAGCAAGCTGCTCTAAAGCTTGTGATATGCATCACAAACGCAATGAATATGGTCCGTTTTTTTGAAGCAAATCATAACTGGAGACGAAGAATGGATTGTCACCAAAAGAGAATTATGCTGTTAGTTTGGTGGGATTAGAAAGGTTTGGTATATTTTGAGCTGCTTTCAAGGAACCAAACGTCCAATTCGGAGGTCTAATGAGAACAACTGGATAAATTGAGTACATCCAACAACGAGCAGCGACCAGAATTGGTCAAACGTAAAAGTTTCATATGCCACCAGGACAAAGCTAGACCGCACACATCTTTGCTCACTCGCCAAAAGCTGAGAGAGCTTGGCTGCGAACTGTTGATGCATACACCATATAGCCCGACCTTGCACCGTCAGACTATTATTTATTTCGATCTTTGCCGAACTAATTAAATGGTAAAACTTTCGAAAATGCCGAGGCCATAAAATCGCAGTTGGTTCAGGTTTTTTGCCGATAAAGCCCAGAATTAATATGAACGTGGAATAAAGATGTTGTCGTAACGATTACGAAAGATGGTGTGCGAATTGATGACATTATAGATATATTTAGAGTGATAATAAGGTAGCTCATATCTGAATGTGAATTTTTTTAATGAACTCGATCAGCACAAAGCAATATGGTAATAGATAAACAAAAACAAACAACAAAGATGGTTTCCCAACACGCGAACATCGGCAATTCTCATAAAATTACTTAAATTAAACTAAGCGGTTTCAGATAAAAAAAGAGTTCAAGCAGCCCATAGGAACGAAAATAAGAACCAAGCAAATTGAACCGTAGATAATTTAATAATAATAATAACAAAGCATTAGTACAATAAGATTTCCATATCTTTTTTAGTACAACAGAGATAGTGTGAAGACTAAGTAAATATTACTTTACAGATACCTTAACAAAAATAATAATAAAAAAAAAAATAATTATAATATATAATGAGTTGAGTATGACAAAAACTTAAACAATTATTGAATGGTCAGTCTATGTTTGAAATTTGGCCTTTAAAATGCATATATATGTGGTTCTTGAAATTGCTTCTGTTTAATTTCCTCCTTAAATTAGCAGGAAGAGAGTTCCATAATCGACTAGCATTGACAAAGAACAGCCTTGATGATTGCTGTGATCTATGAAAAGGTATTATTATATTACCTACTCTGGCTGACCGAGTAAACGATAACTTGGAAAAAAGATAACTAGGTGATTGAGTCATGATGAGCTTGCAAAGAAAAATACAATTTCTGGCTTTATGATAGTCCGCAATCGTACATCCTAATATCTGATCTTTCCAAGACGAAATGTGCTCATATTTGGAAAGACCAAACAC